ATCTAAACTTTGTCAATACATGTCCTGACTTTGCGTATTATTGTTCTGGTGTGATGTGTAGGCATGTTATTTCTTAGTTAAGGATCCCATTATTAACGTGAATGTAACCCACAAATTACAAAATTTTTTAACCAAAACATAAATGCTCTAATTCCACAAAATGAAATACATGCCGTACTGCCATTATTCCGTTCCTTGAGAGTCATGTAGTATGTTAATTTTCCGAAGAATAATGGAAATCAAATTAATACGTTGCAAGACACTCCAAAAGTATTGAAAAAAAAATTTTTTAACACATGAAATATTAATTTTAATACACACAAACTGAAGAAGACATGCACAGTTACATGACACTTACCTTTATTGAAAATCTGGTGATGATTGATGGGATGGGAAGAGGGGAGTGTGTTGAAGGTCTTAGTGTTTAGAAGGGGAATCCCCTTCCATTAGGACTTGAGGTGGCAAGTCCTTTTTCGGGGTTACTTCCCTTCTTCTTTTAATGCCACTAGGACCAGCTTGAGAGACACTGGACCTCTGTTGCACAACATATCTGCCCGTAGAGGCCTGTACCTCCCGTTCCTTTATGACATTCCTAAAGTGTTTCACAACATTGTCAGTGTCACCATTAAACACTTGTTCAGGTTTCAGTCCTTCACTGTCTATGTACTCCTTGAATTCCTGCACATATTTTTCAGCTACTTTTTGGTCCAAACTGGCAGCCTCACCATGCCTTATCACACTATGTATGCCACTAAGATTCTTAAATCTCTCAAACCAACCTTTGCTGGCCTTAAATTCACTCACATCACCACTAGTTGCAGGCATTTTTCTAATTAAATCGTCATGCAACTTCCTAGCCTTTTCACATATGATCGCTTGAGAGATGCTATCTCCTGTTATCTGTTTTTCGTTTATCCATACCAATAACAGTCTCTCAACATCTTCTATCACTTGCGATCTCAGTTTCGAAAACATAGTTGCACCTTTGGCAAGAACAGCTTCCTTGATTGCCGTTTTCTTGGCCACAATAGTAGCTTGGCCACAGTAGTAGCATGTCTCCGAGCTGGCCAGGCTGTAGCCTGGCCAGCTTGGAGACATGCACTCCACTTTCATACTTAGCAATGATCTCTTTCTTCATATCCATAGTAATTCTCACCCTTTTTGCTGTAGGGTTGGCACTAGAAGCTTTCTTGGGGCCCATGGTGACTTATTTTGCAGGTGCAATCACTAAAAAGGCTGTGATAATATGAAATGTTCCGATTGTATGCTTGGAAGCGACCGCGGTGGCTGGCTGGCTTGTAAACACTGGCCAGAAGTGGACGCGTCTCAGACGGAACGAATAGTGTTGGTCGAGTTTTTTAGCGCTAATCGAGACAAAATTTTTGCGATAAAATGTATCGCTAGTCAGATTTATCGTTAATCGATGCCATCGCTGGTCGAGGGTCCACTGTATAGTGGAACTTCAGTTTTCGTTTGCCCTGGTTTTTGTCGAATTCGTTTTTTAACGACTTTTTTCGTCAAAATTTTGTCCCAGTTTTCATTCTTCACCTTGGTTTTCGTCGAGTTGACAGTGGTCTTCTGTACCGAACATGTCCGCCTGCTCCCACACACAGCATCCCACACGTTCTGAGTCAGTCTGGCTTTGTTTCTTGTCGGTAGAGGGTGGTAATGATGGTGGTAGAGGGTGGTAGTGGTTGTGATGGTGGTAGAGATAAACTCTCTTATCTCTCCCCTCCTCACCATCTTTCATATGCCAACAAGAGTCTTAATAAAGGTTAAAGTGATGTTAAATGTTCATTTATCCGTTTCATTAGTCCTTTATATTTATTTCTCATTGTTTTCTGTATGTAAAACTATAGTTATTCTCTATAAAATGTATTTTTGTTAATACTTTTGGGCGTCTGGAATGGATTAATTGGATTTACATTATTTCTTGTGGGAAATACAGTGGACCCCCGCATACCGATTTTAATCCGTGCAAGAGGGCTCATTGGTATGCGAAATAATCGGTATGCGAATGAATTTTCCCCATAAGAAATAATGGAAATCAAATTAATCCGTGCAAGACACCCAAAAGTATGAAAAAAAAAAATTTTACCACATGAAATGTTAATTTTAATACACACAAACTGAAAAAGGCATGCACAATTACATGACACTTACTTTTATTGAAGATCTGGTGATGATTGATGGGATGGGAGGAGGGGAGAGAGAGTGTTAGTGTTTAGAAGGGGAATCCCCTTCCATTAAGACTTGAGGTGTCGAGTCCTTTTCTGGGGTTACTTCCCTTCTTCTTTTAATGCCACTAGGACCAGCTTCAGAGTCACTGGACTTCTTTCGCACAACATATCTGTCCATAGTGGCCTGTACCTCTCGTTCCTTTATGACTTCCCTAAAGTGTTTCACAACATTGTCAGTGTACAGGTTGCCAACATGGCTTGCAATAGCTGTGTGAGGGTGATTTTCATCCATGAAGGTTTGCACTTCAAGCCACTTTGCACAGATTTCCTTAATCTTTGTAGTAGGCAACTTCTTCATTTTCTCTCTCCCCTCCTCTGAACCAGTTTCCTCAGGTCTGGCCTCTTGCTGTTGAAGTTGATCTATCAGCTCATCAGTGGTTAGTTCTTCATTGTCCTCCTCCACCAACTCTTCCACATCCTCCCCACTAACCTCCAACCCCAAGGACTTTCCCAATGCCACAATGGATTCCTCAACTGGCATAATCCTCTCAGGGTTAGCCTCAAACCCTTCAAAATCCCGTTTGTCTACACATTCTGGCCACAGTTTCTTCCAAGCAGAGTTCAAGGTCTTCTTAGTCACTCCCTCCCAAGCCTTACCTATAAGGTTTACACAATTGAGGATATTAAAGTGCTCTCTCCAAAAGTCTCTTAGAGTCAGTTGAGTTTCTGAGGTCACTACAAAGCACCTTTCAAACAGAGCTTTTGTGTACAGTTTTTTGAAGTTTGCAATAACCTGCTGGTCCATGGGCTGCAGGAGAGGAGTGGTATTAGGAGGCAAAAACTTCACCTTAATGAATTTCATGTCCCCATAAAGTTGCTCTGCCACATCTGTAGGATGACCAGGGGCATTGTCTAACACCAGGAGGCACTAAAGTTCTAATTTCTTTTCAGTTAGGTAATCTTTCACATTGGGGGCAAATGCATGGTGTAACCAGTCATAGAAAAAGTCCCTAGTGACCCATGCCTTACTGTTTGCCCTCCACAGCACACACAAATTCTCCTTGAGGACATTCTTTTGCCTGAACGGTCTGGGAGTTTCAGAGTGATACACTAATAAAGGCTTCACTTTGCAATCACCAGTAGCATTGGAACACATCAACAAAGTAAGCCTGTCTTTCATAGGCTTATGTCCTGGGAGTGCCTTTTCCTCCTGAGTAATGTAGGTCCTGCTTGGCATTTTCTTCCAAAACAGGCCTGTTTCATCACAATTAAACACTTGTTCAGGTTTCAGTCCTTCACTGTCTATGTACAGTGGACCCCCGCATAACGATTACCTCCGAATGTGACCAATTATGTAAGTGTATTTATGTAAGTGCGTTTGTACGTGTATGTTTGGGGGTCTGAAATGGACTAATCTACTTCACAATATTTCTTATGGGAACAAATTCGGTCAGTACTGGCACCTGAACATACTTCTGGAGTGAAAAAATATCGTTAACCGGGGGTCCACTGTACTTCTTGAATTCCTGCACATATTTTTCAGCTGCTTTGTGGTCCGAACTGGCAGCCTCACCATGCCTTATCACACTATGTATGCCACTACGCTTCTTAAATCTCTCAAACCAACCTTTGCTGGCCTTAAATTCACTCACATCAGCACTAGTTGCAGGCATTTTTTTAATTAAATCCTCATGCAACTTCCTAGCCTTTTCGCTTATGATCGCTTGAGAGACGCTATCTCCTGCTAGCTGTTTTTCATTTATCCACACCAATAAGAGTCTCTCAACATCTTCCATCACTTGCGATCTTTGTTTTGAAAACACAGTTAAACCTTTGGCAAGAACAGCTTCCTTGATTGCCTTTCTGGTGCCCACAATAGTAGCGATGGTTGATTGGGGTTTCTTGTACAACCTGGCCAGGTCGGCGATACGCACTCCACTTTCATACTTATCAATGATCTCTTTCTTCATTTCTATTGGAATTCTCACCCTTATTGCTGTAGGGTTGGCACTAGAAGCTTTCTTGGGGCCCATGGTCACTTATTTTCCAGATAAAGCACCGAAAACACTGTAATAATACGAAATATTCCGATTGTATGCTTGGATGTTACTGCGGAGGCTGGCTGGTAAACAATGGCACGGGCGGCACATGTGAGGCTGGCAGAGGGCGCACATTGGACGCGTCTCGGACGAACAGCGGTGAGCGGGTTTTTAAGCGGTATGCGAGGCAAAATTTTTGCGATTAAAGCAAGCGGTATGCGGATTAATCGTTATGTGATGCCAACGGTATGCGGGGATCCACTGTATTGCTTCAGTTTTCGTCGAATTCGGTTTTCTGGAATGAATTAATAACGAAAACCAAGGTTCCACTGTATAAATTCTGCTTACAGTTTCATTCATAAGTTAAGCATATTTCACTTGATGTTATAAAAAATATGGATTGCCACAGCTAATGCATGCAAGTGTAAACACCACATAGCTAAAAGTTAGCAATTAGATATTGCAGAGTTCAATCAAAAAGTTAAGAGGCGAGACCAAGAGCTGAAGTGAAAACAATGGAAGATAATGTTCATATTAAGAGATAAAGGCAGTGCAAGAAAAATATAATGACAAAGAATGGAAAAATAAGTATTTATTAAAAGTACAACATGGAATTAAAGAAAATAAAGTGTCACTTTAGTGAGAATACAGTTGGAGAATAAATAATGCAGAGAAGTATCCTCATTTGCTTTCTTTATGTTTACATTGATTGTAAGATATTGTAAAATCTATATTCGAAAGAAAACCAATGTCAAATTTTACAGTTCCTCACTATCAACAGATATATGCTGTGCCTACATGAAAATCAGAACGAGAATACTAAGTGTCGAGAGGAATCCCGAGAGTACCTAGGGTGTCGCATGGAAAAGGGTCTTATGGCAAATGAAGAGTGGAGCAAGCTTGGATATTCTGACCTCTCAGCTAGTGCACACCATACGTCCTGAAACATTTTACTGCAAGATTCATTATATAAATTAAGGTAACAGCTAGATACCATGACACCTTAGAAAGTGTATTACTTATCCAAACAGCAAAATCATTGCTTTCAAAAAATATGTATTTCTAAAGACACATTACAATGTTTCCTTAGTTTCCTTGTCACTATTTTGATATAGGTGTGATATTAATAAATTCTAAAGGGCATAATGTTCACTTAACATTAAAGTTGAAAAAACTATATTTTAAGCACAAAGCTCATACTTTTTTGCTTTTGGCAAATATACAGTGGACCCCCGGTTAACGATATTTTTTCACTCCAGAAGTATGTTCAGGTGCCAGTACTGACTAAATTTGTTCCCATAAGGAATATTGTGAAGTAGATTAGTCCATTTCAGACCCCCAAACATACACGTACAAACGCACTTCCATAAATACACTTACATAATTGGTCGCATTCGGAGGTGATCGTTATGCGGGGGTCCACTGTATATTAATTCATATCAGTTTTGAAAAACAATGCTACATCACTATGCACTACTAGTATGTTAACATACAAATAAATACATATCTTTGCTCCTGTAACTCACGTTTCAAGCATCCGCACTATTGTTTTTAAATCTGGTGGTGCATAGAGTATGTGAAAGAATACTGAAGGTTCTACTGGTATACTGTATTAAAAAATTGCAGACAATGTCGTGGTTACCTGCACCAAGCACTGGCCCAAGGGTGATCTTGGGCTGCACAGGAAGTGTGGCTACTATCAAAGTTCCAGAATTAGCACGAAAACTGCAAGAACGTGGAGCAAGTGTGGTTATTGTTCCAACTGAACGTGCTTGTCACTTCTTGAAATGTCAAGCTAAGGTAGAAATGGCAAGTAGTCATGGACCAGTTCGTGGGGGACTTGTTAGTTTTATCAAACCAGAGAGGAAAGCTACTGATAATGGGGAGTTAAGAGGTAGTGATAGTGATGACCAAAACAGCAGCAGTGATCACTGCAGTCAGTGTGGAAGGCGAACCCCAATTAGAGGAAGAAAGCAAACTGATGATACCTTGAAATCTTTATATCCAGATTTAAATTTTGTGCTGGACAGTGATGAGTGGGCAGTCTGGAATGGCCGTGGTGACCCGATTCTGCATATCCAACTTCGAGATTGGGCACAGGTGATGGTGATTGCTCCTCTTGATGCCAATACTATGGCCAAGCTTGCACAGGGTCTTTGTGACAATCTTCTTACGTGTATAGTGCGTGCTTGGGATTCTGTACGACCTCTTATCTTCTGCCCAGCAATGAACACACACATGTACAAACATCCTCTCACTATGAGACACACTGGAATTCTGAAGGTAAGTTGTAAGATGTACAGTTTGTGGAAATACTATAAACCCTCCATTTAACATACTTTGGAAATGCAGTACAAAATCTGCTGGGTCATTGGATTTGGCAGCAATGGTCAAAGTCCTGTGGTTGCAGAATTCTTGATTATTGTTAATCACTGCAAAATAATCTTTTCTCTATACACCACAAGTGCCATTATTGACCACCTGCACCCCAATTAGTCTGTTAAATAAGAGGGTTTATTGTGCAGTACTGTACTAGTATATAGCTACTTTATAAAATCTTATGTTCTAAGGTTTTGAAAATGCAATTTTGTATGCTACCAAGGTTTATTTTAAAGTCCTGTGATATGAGATAGTTGTTAGAGATAAGAAAACCAGTAAAGTATTAAAAAAGAAATACATAGTGTGCATTTGGAAAAATTAGTGGTACAAACCTGTGGTGAAAAATTAGATAGTGGTCATGAATGATAAAAGTGTGGAGGGAACAAGGGAATGAATTGTTTTGGATGGTATACAAAACTGTTGATGGAGGGGAAATATGCAGTGGTGTGCAATATTAAAAAAATAGCTTATGATTATCATGTTTCATCTTTTCCTCCAGTGAAGCATTGAGGGCATATCTGATGCTTTTGGCATGCCCTATTAACTTTTTATTTTCTTCCCTAGAAGCCCTTTTTACTTTGTCCACATGGATTTTTTTTTATGTAAACACCTTACCCCTGTTATTTATTCCAATTTTGTTGTAACATGTTGTGAATGGCCTAGGTAGTAGGTTGGTAAACAGCAACCGCCCAGGGAGGTACTACCGTCCTGCCAAGTGAGTGTACAACGAAAACCTGTAATTGTTTTACATGATGGTAGGATTGCTGGTGTCTTTTGTCTTTCTCATAAACATGCAAGATTTCAGGTATGTCTTGTTACTTCTACTTACACTTAGGTCACACTACACATACATGTACAAGCATATATATACACACCCCTCTAGGTATTCTTCTATTTTCTTTCTAGTTCTTGTTCTTGTTTATTTCCTCTTATCTCCATGGGGAAGTGGAACAGAATTCTTCCTCCGTAAGCCATCCGTGTTGTAAGAGGCGACTAAAATGCCGTGAGCAAGGGGCTAGTAACCCCTTCTCCCGTATAAATTACTAAATTTAAGAGAAACTTTTGTTTTTCTTTTTGGGCCACCCTGCCTTGGTGGGATACGGCCGGTGTGTTGAAAGAAAGAAAGAAATGTTGTGAATAGCTTCTTTAGCCATTTTTGCCTCCATATATCTAAGGGTTAATTAGTTGGCCAGTGTCACATTGGTATTAATCACAATATTTTGAATGGGATCTTCCACTAGCAGTCTTATATCAGTGACGGCTCCTAGGTCAGTCTTGGTCGGTCTCTCTGTCTGTCTGTCTCTCTTTCTGTCTGTCTCTCTCTCTCTCTGTCTGTCTGTCTCTGTCTCTCTCTCTGTCTCTCTGTCTCTGTCTGTCTCTATGTCTCTCTCTGTCTCTCTCTGTCTCTGTCTCTCTCTGTCCTCTGTCTCTGTCTGTCTCTCTCTGTCTGTCTGTCTGTCTGTCTCTCTCTCTCTCTCTCTCTCTCTCTCTCTCTCTCTCTCTCTCTCTCTCTCTCTCTCTCTCTCTCTCTCTCTCTCTCTGGGCCCACAGCCTTTTCTTGGTTAAACAACTTAAGAAGGAAATGCACCTCCTCCTGCAATATTGTCACCACCGACAGTTTTGACACAGTTCTTGCAGCTAGCCAAGGAGGGTCCCTTGCTGTATCAGGAACTTGCATTTTGGTAGCAAAGTGTTTGGCAAAGAAGTCTGCTTTCTCTTGACTACTAGTAGAGGTGGTCCCATCCTGTCGATTTAGAGGTGGAATGAGTTCATCAGGCAGATAACCTTGTCTGTCCATGACCAGGGACCACCAGGTTTTGGAGCCTACTCTACCTGATGCTAGTTTTCTTTGTGTGTCCATCTCCTATTTAGCAATGGCCCACTTTTGAACTTCACCCATGCCTATAGGCTTGCCTATGCAAGTTCCTGTTATAGGTGGTAGGATGTCTCTTATACCTTTGCTATGCCTTGTACTTGGCAGTGGCAGCCTCTCTACAATGAGAGCCAAACCAAGGCTTCATCACATAATGCTGGTGAGGGATGTGTTCTTGTTGTAGATTAAGGATGTGTCCAGTGAAGGCTTTCACTTGGTTGTCAACATCCCCTTGGAGAAGAGCATTCCAGTCTCTCTCTTTCTCTTTCACTCTTTTTCTCTCTCTCTTACTTTCTTTCTCTCCCTCTCTCTCTGTGATACCTTTAATATTTTATCACAATCGGTATTTTTTGTGTAGCTTATTGTCTTTTTTATTTCCATTATGCAGCATTCATTCTTGTTAAGTTCTGTTAATTATCTGTAACTCTACTCTCTGTCTCACCAGGTCTTTCTGCACAAGTACATCTGACATTGCATCTTATTTGCTTAGTAGATTGCCACACCAACTCCTTTGTTGGGTCTACAGTTGTGACTGGCTTTGTGCCCAGACACTGTTATATGGTATTATATTTCACTTGGGTTTCTCTAAGCTTATACAAAATTTATGAGGGGATTTGTGCCAGAAATAAACTATTGTTATATAATTTGCTATTTGTAATGCTGTAAGTACATTAGCCATAATATTTGGAAAGATTAATTAAGTACAATGAGTGAATTATTCAGAAAATTGCTTACTACTAAGAGAAAAACACTGTTAATTTTCACAACTTATTTTGTTACTACTTGATGCATTTTAAAAATAATTATAACATCCTTTACAAAGCAATGGATGATTTTATCAGTGCTTCACATCTGATTTGTCTCATTATGGAAGTTCCCAAAGTTTTTTGTGGCCATGTACCATACAAAATAGTTCTCTACCATTCTTATGACTGCCTTGAAGTTTCTTAAGATTGTTTGGCTATTAACCGTTTCAGGGTCCAGAGGCCAAATTTCAAAGTGTGCACCAGGGTAATAAAACAAAAAGTACGAAATTTGATGGAAAATTGACGAAATTATGCTCTCGCGAATTTTGATGTGTCAGCAGTATTTATGCATCGGCGATTTTGCTGACTTTGACTCCCATTTTAGGCCAATTATATTATTCTAGCCAACTAAATTCTTAGCTATTTCACTAGTATTACTTCTATCAATTGAGCACAAGAAATCGCCAAGTCAACTGTTTCAACTACAAAATAAAGTGATTGGAAATTGGTAATTTAGCCAATATAGTGCAAAGTTCAAAATATTCCAATTTCAAAATAGGGTCCAGAATAAACAATGCAGGCATTCCTGGCACTAAACTAATATTTCCTCTGTTCATTAGTTATGTTTTTCAGGCTTTACAAATGAATTCCATTTTGATTTTTTATTCACATAATGAATTTTTATTCAAACCAAAAAATAGAAGATTTACTGTTATGCAATGTTGCAATAATTGTATAAATAATATCACCATATTTGTGAACATATATTAGACCCACCAGCTGGCGTGTATTAGACGTGAGGTCATTTGTTTACTCTTAAACATCAGCAAATTTTAACATTTCTGCTACTTTGAGCTCGGTTTCAAGCCATTTTCAGTGCTAAAACCAATCAAAATCATCTTTATTTCTGTAATATATCTTCCATTCTATCAAATGAGACCAAGAAATCGCAAATACAACTATAAAAGACATACAAAAAACACTACAAAGTCTCTGTTTTAACCCTTTGAGGGTCAACAGGCCCTCTCCGAGACTCGTTCTCAGAGTTGGCCAAATTTAAAAAAAAAAAAAAAATTCTTATGAAAAGATATAGAATCTTTTCCCGATCATAATGACACCAAAAGTATGAAATTTGGTGGAAAACTTACGGAATTATGCTCTTGTGAAGTTAGCGGTCTCGGCGATGTTTACGCATCGGCGATTTTGCCCACTTTGAGCCCCATTTTCGGCCAATTCCACTGTACTAGTCGACAAAAAACATGAATATTTCGCAAGAACTCCATTTTTTCTATCGAATGAGTGCAAGAAACCACCCATTTACCAATTTCAACTATCCAGTACAGTAAAGAATTTAGCAATTTTGCCAATTTCACACAAATTTCAAAAGATGCCAATTTCTGAATAGGGTCCAGAATAAACAAGAAAGACATTCCTGGCACTAAAATGACATTTCCTGTTCATTAGTCACGTCTCAAGGCCCCTCTTACATTCTTTTGCTTTCCACTTTGAATTTTTATTCTCACAAAAAATAGAAGATTTACTGTTATGCAGACTACTGCATCAGTGTAAAAAATGGTATAAATAATATTGGCGCACTTGCGAAAGAATATTAGACTCACCAGTTGACGTGTATTGGATGCTTGGCATGATTTGTTTACTTTTGAACTTTGGTAAAAATCGAACATTTCTGCTACTTTTAGCTCAATTTCAAGGTACTTTTCATTGTAAAACCAGTCAAAATCATCTCAATTTCTGTAATATATCTTCCATTCTATAAAATGAGACCAAGAAAACTAGGAAACAACAATAAATACCAAACGAAAATACAGTGCAAAGTCGCTGTTTTATTCCAAAAAAACGGTCAAAGTTTTTTTTTTCTCATTATGCACTGTGTGCTGCAGGATTTTTTTTTATACTGTGCACACTGACCACATTGACCCATTCTTTCATATGTAGGCCTGCCAGCTTTCTCCCACTAGATTTGAGGGCGCTAGAATTTAGGCGTACTAGTACGTCAAAAACCCTGGGTCGTAAGCCATACTAGTACGGCCGAAACCCTCAAAGGGTTAATCGAAAATTAGTCTCGTTTTTTTCCTCTCATTATGCACTGTGTGCTGCAGGATTTGTTTTATGTGGTGCACACATACCACATAGATTTATTCTCTCATATCTAGGCCCAAATTTACCGCTGACAGCTTATGAGAGTGAGCTGAGCTCATGGCGTAGATCTACGGTTTGGACCATCAACTCAAAGCCGTAGAACTATGGCACAGACCCTGAAAGAGTTAAATTTAAGCAGGACTAGCTTTTATATCTGTTTATTTAGGCTATTTTCTAGTATTTTTATTACAGTAGTATACAGTACATACTATATCAGTTTTTTTTATTGTACAGTGGACCCCCGCATAACGATATTATTTCAATCCAGAAGTCTGTTTGGGTGCCGTTATAGACCGAATTTGTTCCCATAAGAAATATTGTGAATTAGATTAGTCCATTTCAGACCCCTAAAAATACACCTACAAAAGCACTTACAAAAATAAACTTACATAATTGGTCGAGTTGGGAGCTGATCGTTATCCGGGGGTCCACTGTATTACATTTGTATCATATTACATACCATATAGACAATATAGATATACAAACAAATGATGTTGGGATAACCTGGCTTGTATATTTACAGATTACTCAGTTCTAACATTGACCAGTGTTCAGACTCTTGGAGAGTTGCAACAAGACACAAACTCAACAAAAGGAAAAAGTATCTCTTTGACATGTCTTGTGTTTGATTTAATCTACTTAAGAGCTACTTGCAAATTATAGGTCTCGAAATATGGTACTTACTACCTGAGGATGCAAAAAGTTCCATATCTGCCAACTTGTTAAAAAATATAGTATCTCCTAAACCTCTTGGTGATTTATGCCATAAATGATTGTAAATAATTAAAGTCTGTTACCCATTGTAACAAACATCCATGCTCCTGTGCTATGATTACCACCTATTTTGACCACCTAATAACTTTTTTCCTAAATTGTCTGTCAGTTTTGTCTATTTTTACATTGTTTAAATCTGCCAATCTAAACCTTACTTATTTTTTATCTTTCTTTCTTTTTTATTTTCTTAATTTCAAGTTCTATTGATAAGTTATAGTTTTAGCATGACTCAAAATAGTTTATACCTTTTTGTAACTACAGTGTTTGTAATTATTTGTATGTTTTGTAAGTTCTTTTAAGAAATAAATTAATTTTCTTTTGTATTTTCACACCACGGTTCAGATGACTCTCTGAACTGCACCATCCTTACCCCTCCTTTACAGTGCAGGAACTGTACTTCTCACTTCCAGAAATCAAGTCTGGTTAATCTTAATCTCTTATTCCCTTCATAAATGTTGTCTTGGCCTCACTCAGTAGTATGTCAAGCCATTAAAACCAATTGTTTCCATTCTGATCTAAGACAGTCATACTAGCCTGCTGAATATTGAAACCCCTATCACTAAAAACCTTTACCCCCTCCCCCTCCAACTCTTCATTGAAACTTGAGTGGCATTTTGTGTAAAAAAAAATTGAAACCAAATACTATATAAATAGTCTTTATTTGCCATGTACACTTGTTTGTAATATAACTGATTTGGCCTATTATTTCAGGAATTAGGTTACATAGAGGTGTGTGTGATGACAAAACGTCTAGCCTGTGGGGATGTGGGTGCTGGAGCCATGGCTGAACTGGACAATATTGTGAATGCAGTCATGCAGGAGTTACCTGGTGCCCACAGGGTATCTCATGGACCTTTTTAAATTTATAGGATTGCCTTAATTTTAGAAAAAAAATCTGTGGTTTAGTTTATTTAATAAGGTATATACTGAGGGCCACCTGCATTACGTATTTCATTCAGTTGTGAACATAACCTTCACTGCTTTATCATTGCCTTAAAAGTAAATAATGTTTTGAGCTCCAAGCTTCCAGTTAGCACTTAGAAATATGGCACAATTAAGTTTGATCTATGAACACATGCTGTATGATAAATGTAAAGACTAGGCAATGCTTGCAGATGTATTTTAACTATTCTTTAACAGTTATGGATTCTTTATTACTGTATAGCAAAATGTGAGAATGCTAATGCACTGTACATTTAAGAACAGAGGTAACACAAATGGCATAGATGTCTTATTTTGTGTACTGTACTGTAAATATACAGGTTAATGCACTGACCATGTATTGTATACTCTTATGTATGTTATGCTTAGTCTTGTGGCTTGTAAATAAAATAACTCAGTTTACTGTATCAATCTTGAATTTGGTGTATAATAAATAAGGGTAAGTTCTTGGTGCCCACCATTAAAGAGACACGTCCATATAAAAATGCAGTCATTTGAGTCCTATTCCAAGTAATTTTTATTTATAACATGAAAGTGTAATGATCTTATTAATCACATAATTAAACTAAATAGTTTGTCTCTTCTATTATGAAAAGCATAAATTCATCAGGTCATCAATTTAAAATAATGTTAACCATGTCATTTACTGTGTGCTTCAGTCTTTTGAATGAATTTCAGGGAAGAATATAGAGTATCAATTGTTTTTATTTTACTGTATGATATCTTTGTTCACGTGTACCAGGTATAAGATTTTAGAGACTTCAAAAGCTTACCTTTGTGATTACATAAGTATGGTAATTTGGAAAATGTAGTGGAAATATTTAAACAGTACAGTACTTTCAGGTTCTATCAGAAATTACTACTATGAAGTATTGCAGAATAGTTTTTTTTTTTTTATTTAATTTTAACTTAAGTAATAAGGAGAGTTATTCTGGTGATGACTTGTAATATACCTAAAAATAATGTGCCAAACTTGGGAGATTAAAATTTCATGATATTTGAAAGTGAGAATGTTTATGACTCATGAAATCCGTGATTTGTGATTGCAGCCTCTCCTCACTTAACGTTGAAATTCCGATCTTAAGGCCACGTCAGTAAACAAATTCATTGCTAAGTGAGGAGTATACTATAACTGTAGTGGGTTTGTGTCAACCATCTTCGATATTGTCACCTATGCACCATGTATAACATTTCTGGTATATTTTTAAATGTTTATACAGTAGTTTACTGTATATTGTAATAAATAGAATAGAGGAAATCAGCTCTAATATAATGTACATTTAGGTATGCATACTGGACAGAGAGCCTGTTGTAAGTCCGAGTCATCAGTAAATGAGTACATCGCTAAGTGAGGAGAGGCTGTATTTATTATACATTTTTTTTTTTTTTTCAACAAGTCGGCCGTCTCCCACCGAGGCAGGGTGACCCAAAAAAGAAAGAAAATCCCCAAAAAGAAAATACTTTCATCATCATTCAACACTTTCACCACACTCACACATTATCACTGCTTTTGCAGAGGTGCTCAGAATACAACAGTTTAGAAGCATATACGTATAAATATACACAACATACCCCTCCAAACTGCCAATATCCCAAACCCCTCCTTTAAAGTTCAGGCATTTTACTTCCCATTTCCAGGACTCAAGTCCGACTATATGAAAATAACCGGTTTCCCTGAATCCCTTCACTAAATATTACCCTGCTCACACACCAACAGATTGTCAGGTCCCAAGTATCCATTCATCTCTTTTCCCACCCCTATCTAACACGCTCATGCACGCTTGCTGGAAGTCCAAGCCCCTCGGCCCACAAACCTCCTTTACCCCCCTCTTCCAACCCTTTCGAGGACGACCCCTACCCCTCCTTCCTTCCTCATCGATTTATATGCTTTCCATGTCATTCTACTTTGATCCATTCTCTCTAATGACCAAACCACCTCAACAACCCCTCTTCTGCCCTCTAAATAATGCTTTTATTAACTCCACACCTTCTCCTAATTTCCACACTCCGAATTTTCTGCATAATATTTACACCACACATTGCCTTAGACAGGACATCTCCACTGCCTCCAACCGCTCCTCGCTGCTGCATTACCACCCAAGCTTCACACCATATAAGAGTGCTGGTACTACTATACCTTCTACATTCCCTTCTTTGCCTCCATAGATAACGTTTTTTTGACCCCACATATACTCAACGCACCACTCACCTTTTTTCCCTCATCAATTCTATGATTAACCTCTCCTTCATAAATCCATCCGCCGACACGTCAACTCCCAGTATCTGAAACATTCACTTCTTTCCATATCCTCCTCCCCAATTTGATATCCAATTTTCTTTATCTAAATTTCATTTGATACCTTCATCACCTTACTCTGTTCTATGTTCACTTTCAACTTTCTCCCTTTTAAAACCAATCTCAAACTCATCTACTAACCTTTGCAATTTTTCTTTAGAATCTCCCATAAGCACAGTATATCAGCAAAAAGTACTGTGTCAATTCCCTTTTTGAATTTGATTCCCCATAATTTAACCCCACCCCTCTCCCAAAACACCCTAAGCATTTACTTCTTTTACAACCCCATCTATAAATATATTAAACAACCATGGTGACATTACATATCCCTGTCTAAGACCTACTTTTACCGGGAAGTATTCTCCCCTCTTCTACACACCCTAACCTGAGCCTCACTATCCTCTAAAAGCTCTTTACAGCATTTAGTAACTTACCACCTATTCCTATACATGCAACATCTGCCACATTGCTCCTCTGTCCACTCTATCATATGCTTTTTCTAAATCCATAAATGCAATAAAAACTTCCCTACCTTTATCTAAATACTGTTCACATATATGCTTCAATGTAAACACTTGATCTACACATCCCCTACTCACTCTGAAACCTCCTTGCTCATCCGCAATCCTACATTCTGTCTTACCTCTTAATTCTTTCAATTATAACCCTACCGTATACTTTTTGTGGTATACTCAGTAAACTTATTCCTCTATAATTTTTACAATCTCTCTTGTCCCCCTTCCCTTTATATAAAGGGACTATACATGCTCTCTGCCACTCCCTAGGTACCTCTCCCTCTTTCATACATTTTTTTTTTTTTTTTTTCAACAAGTCGGCCGTCTCCCACATTATATCCCCCCTGCTTTTAACATTTCTCATGATCCTGTCAGTTCCAGCTGCTTTACCCCCTTTCATTCTACATAATGCCTCACTCGCCTCCCCCACACTCGCATCCTGTTCTTCACTCCTATAAGATGGTATACCTCCCTGGCCAGTGCATGAAATTACCGCTTCCCTTTCTTTGTCGACATTTAAAAGTTCCTCAAAATATTCTCACCATCTACCCAAAACCTCCATCTCCCCATCTACTAACTCCCCTACTCTGTTTTTAACTGACAATTCCATTCGTTCTCTAGGCTTTCTTAACTTTTTTAACTCGCTCCAAAATTTTTTCTTATTTTCATTAAAATTTCTTGACAGTGCCTCTCCCACTCTACCATCTGCTCTCCTTTTGCACTCTCTCACCACTCTCTTCTCCTTTCTTTTACTCTCCATATACTCTACTCTTCATATAACACTTCTGCTTTGTAAAAACCTCTCATAAGCTAACTTTTTATCTTTTATCACACCCTTTACTTCATCATTCCATCAATCACTCCTCTTTCCTCCTGCACCCACCCTCCTAAAACCACAAACTTCTCCCCCACATTTAATACTGCATTTTAAAACTATTCCAACCCTCTTCAACCCCCCCACTACTCATACTTGCACCAGCCCACCTTTCTGCCAATAGTTGCTTATATCTCACCCGAACTTCCTCCTCTCTTAGTTTATACACTTTCACCTCCCTCTTGCTTGTTGTTGCCATTTTCCTCTTTTCCCATCTACCTCTTACTCTAACTGTAACTACAACTAAATAATGATCCGATACATCAGTTGCCCCTCTACATGTACATCCTGGAGCCTACCCATCAACCTTTTATCCACCAATACATAATCTAACAAACTACTTTCATTATGTGCTATATCATACTTTGTATATTTATTTATCCTCTTCATGAAATATGTATTACTTATTACCAAACCTCTTTCTACATATAGCTCAAAGGCTTCCCATTTTCATTTACCCCTGGCACCCCAAATTTACCTACTACTCTCTCCACAACATTTTTTGCCCACTTTAGCATTGAAATCCCCAACCACCATTACTCTCACACTTGGTTCAAAACTCCCCACGCATTCACTCAACATTTCCCAAAATCTCTCTCTCTCTCCTGTACACTTCTCTCTTCTCTAGGTGCATATACACTTACTATAACCCACTTCACATCCAACCTTTATTTTACTCCACATAACCCTTGAATTAATACATTTATAGTCCCTCTTTTCCTGCCATAACTTATCCTTCAACATTATTGCTACTCCTTCTTTAGCTCTAACTCTATTTGAAACCCCTGACCTAATCCTATTTATTCCTCTCCCCTGAAACTCTCCTATCCCCTTCAGCTTTGTTTCACTTAAAGCCAGGACATCCAGCTTCTTCTCATTTATAATATCCACAATCATGTCTTTCTTATCATTTGCACAACATCCAAGCACATTCAGACTTCCCACTTTGACAATTTTCTTCTTATTCTTTTTAGTAATTATTACATGAAAAGGGGTTACTAGCCCATTGTTCCCGGCATTCTAGTTGACTTTTACAACACGCATGGCTTATGGAGGAAAGATTCTTATTCCACTTCCCCATGGATATAAAAGGAAAAGTAATAAGACCAAGAACTTCTTTCTTTCAACCCACCGGCCGTATCCCACCGAGGCAGGAAGGCCCAAAAGGAAAAACGAAAGTTTCTCCTTTTACATTTAGTAATATATACAGGAGAAGGGGTTACTAGCCCCTTGCTCCCGGCATTTTAGTTGCCTCTTACAACACGCATGGCTTACGGAGGAAGAATTCTGTTCCACTTCCTCATGGAGATAAGAGGAAATAAACAAGAACAAGAACTAGAAAGAAAATAGAAGAAAACCCAAAGGGGTGTGTACGTATATGCTTGTACATGTGTGTGTAGTGTGACCTAAGTGTAAGTAGAAGTAGCAAGACATACCTGTAATCTTGCATATTTATGAGACAGACAGAAGACACCAGCAATCCTACCATCATGTAAAACAATTACAGGCTTTCGTTTCACACTCACTTGGCAGGACAGTAGTACCTCCCTGGGTGGTTGCTGTCTACCAACCTATTTATTGGGTTTTATTGCTGTAATAATAAATACAGTTAAGCAAGATGTACTTTTTGTTGTCAAATAAGATGCTGTATTGTTTTTTTAATTTAATGCTTAAGTAATAGGTTACTACTGAATCCAGCATATATGAATTTGGAACATTTTAATGAAATTCTCGAAAGTATTGAGATGCTGGTTCGGTTATTGTGAAAGGAATTAAGAAGTAGACACAGTTAGCCTTACTATTTACACAGGCATGTGGGTCGGAACAGACAGTCAAGTCATTAAGTATGCAATCAAAAGTTCATTCATCCTTGTATAATATTAAACATATGATGTACCATATATACTGGAGTATAAGTCAAGGTTTATAAAACTAAATTTTTAAGCCAAATATAAGGAGTCAACCTCTTAATGAGTCACACTTTTGAGAAGGTGAAACTATTACATATGGAGGACCTTCCAGATGCTAGATTCCTACATCTTTGGTGCATTGAGAGCAAAACCACATGGTAACCATATTCTGCCTAAAATACAGGCATTAGGAAGCTTAGACTCCAGGGTGACATCAGGCAGGCTCTAGGTTAACCTGGTCAGGCCCTGTTACCAACTCTAATTGCCCCTCCTTAGATTAAGTTATTTTATGTCAGGCTCAGTTAAGTTAGGGACCCTAGTGGGTTTAGCACTTAGTTTTGCTTTTAATAATAATAATAATAATCAGTTAGGTTAGGTCAGAGTTAATTTTCTTACAGTAACCACAGATAACTAGGAGCATTACAGATTGATAAATTAGACACATGTGCAACTCTTGGGTATCTTTATTGAGGAAACGTTTCGCCACACAGTGGCTTCATCAGTCCATACATAGGAGAAACTTGAAGAACAGGAGGAGAATGAGGTAATCAGTCCCTCAACCTTGAGTCGATGTGTTCAGTCCATCAATCTTGAGTAGAATGCGGCAGATGAGCGGAGAAGCAGCTTATAAACCGTATGGCAGGAGAGGTGCAGCAGTCATAGGTGGTGTCACATTTGTTCAATGTGGAAGTAGGTTGTGCCCAAGAATTAGGCAAGCGAAGAATTCCTAAGTATTAAGATCCCAAGAAGTTGCAGTGTCTGACAGGTTTGTAGATGAATGGTTCAGAGAACCGACATGTTGATAAATTAGACACGTGCAACTCTTGGGTATCTTTATTGAGGAAACATTTCGCCACACAGTGGCTTCATCAGTCCATACATAGGAGAAACTTGAAGAACAGGAGGAGAATGAGGTAATCAGTCCCTCAACCTTGAGTCGATGTGTTCAGTCCATCAATCTTGAGTAGAATATGGCAGATGAGCAGAGAAGCAGCTTATAAACCATATGGCAGGAGAGGTGCTGCACCTCTCCTGCCATATGGTTTATAAGCTGCTTCTCCGCTCATCTGCCGTATTCTACTCAAGATTGATGGACTGAACACATCGACTCAAGGTTGAGGGACTGATTACCTCATTCTCCTCCTGTTCTTCAAGTTTCTCCTATGTATGGACTGATGAAGCCACTGTGTGGCGAAGCGTTTCCTCAATAAAGATACCCAAGAGTTGCACATGTGTCTAATTTATCAACATGTCGGTTCTCTGAACCATTCATCTACATTACAGATTGTTTAAAATACAACAGAGCATCACTGGAAAATTGCCAGATTGGGCACACTTCCCATCCTCCCTCAGGACTAACTGATACCCTATTTTTTTCTTTCAGTTTATTAATATGAAATGTAAATTATTGTTGTATAGGATGTAAACAAATATTTTTGTTTTGTTTATTATAGTGTGGGAAAAATTCTGAAGGTAATCGCATGGAAGAGGGTGAGTATAGCAAGTCATGCCAGGTTAAGCCGAGGAGAAAGAGGTGTCAACTGCCCATTCCCCAAATCTTTTGCCTCCTTTCCCCAACACCACGGCCAGTCATCCAGCCCAAGCCTTCCTCACCCACCAACCACAGACGTGTAATAGATGTGATGTGCTGACAAACAGGACAGCATAAATAGTAGAGCTACAGTTACCAATTTCCACCAGATAAATGTGCTGGATGTGAGTAGGGCATACCTATGATGGGCCAGTGAGCTTGCTGCAGTGTACCTCTTATTTTATGTAATAGCTTGGTGTGAGTGAGACCTACCTAGTGTGGGCCTACTGTAGTGCTGCTTTATTTGTTTATTCTTATGGGATGGTTGGGTGTTAGTAGGACTTGCCCGATATGTGCAAGTAGGTCTGTTGCATTACTTCTTATTTGTATTTTTATTGAGTGTTTGGGTCGACTTATTAGTCAGTTATTCACAAATATTGCAAAGATCTTAGTGCTTTTTTTTTTTTTAATTTTCAGTACTAGGGTAGATTTGTATACGAGATACTGTATAAGAAAAATTTAGGGATATTTTGGCGAAAACCAGGGGTCTATCTATACAGGCACTTGAGTTATACTCTAATATATATCGTATGTATTCTCAAGAGTATGTAAAAATACCATTCAGTGTCTTTTGGGCAGATTTGAACCAGCTAGTTTTGATTAATAATCATGATTTTTACAGGATAAAATAAAATAATGCATCAAAGGTGTAGATTGCACATATGGTAATCATAATCATAATTTATTTTCATAGGCATTCCAGGTGTGCAAGATAATTTAGATAATTTTCAGTTCAGTATTATTAATACTGTACCTGGATATATGAAGTTACTAGGGTGCTTTCATATTTCAGAGCTTGTGTATTAGAAGTCACACTATAATGCTCGTTCAACAACTTCTTGCAGACAGGGAGAGTTGTACATTTTCTTGACGAAATTTGCAGTACTTATAGTAATGAAGTGTTGAACTAGTATACAGAGTAAGTGCTTCAGTTATAAGTGTAGCCTATTACCACAATGTGTACATATTTTACCCAGTAGGTTTTGCTGTTGCTACTCCTCCTATTTGAGGGTACTCATTACTATTAATGAAATGCTAGTCTGTTAGCTTAATATTTTTCTAGCCAGCTAGATTTGAGAAAATACATTGGACCTCTCAAGAAACCAAAATTATGACATTTCGTCTAATCTTTAAGTAATTTATTCAGCACTTAAGAGACGTTTGTTAGTATAAAACAAGTGTATTTAGTGCACAACTATTAATATTCAAACAGAGCAAAACATGGCTTTTTAAGATAACTCTTAGCTGGGCTATGAACTTTCTTCACTGCCCCTGTAAAAATTATCTTTGGTATGCAACTTATTGTCCTGGTATTATAGAGAAGTTACATTGAAGATTTCGAGGTATTAGGATCTTTGTATCTTGTATAATTTATTGAATGTATATGGGTGTAAATAATTTAGATAGCAAATATGGTACTGACATTTATGCTTTGGAAATGCAGTTATGAGAGATATACAAACTGGAGTGCTTTAATTTTGTAATGCAAACCTTACCAACAACGTGAGGAACAACAATTATTAAAATAAGTATTCTTGTTAGTGATGTACAATACGGGTTTTAGAGAATTACAAGGTAACTTCTTTTAGATGTGGTGATATAGTCCAAATCTCTGATCATAGCACAAAGGTCCTGATCACCATCCATTTCATGCTCTCCCAGAAGTTGCTTTAGTCTGAGTCATTTCACTTCAGCCTTGTACTGTACCACCTTGTACCTGGATTGCATATTGCTTTAAAGTATGAACTCATTTCTTTGTAGTAATTTCATATGAACTGGCAGTGTTCTACTGTGGTATCCATATTTTATGTGACGAGAATATAAGCATTTTGACATTAACTGCTTTGCCTTTTTTGAATACTGTACTGTATATGAAAACCATTGACTGCTCTCTTCAAGCTCAAAATTATTTGTTGCTTAGCATTTAGGAATTGATTCTTCTAGCTCATAAATGACCTGCACAAAATTTTTTCTATGTGACCACTAGCTAATATATCCTCATTGGATTATTTTTCAGGTTTACTAAAATCATTTAAATATATTAGTCTTAACATAATGTACTTTGATTTGTTAAAGATTATGAGCTCCAGGTTTCTCTATGGAGTCAAACCTTTTAGGATTTTTTTTGTGTGACCTGGTTGAAAGGATTATTTGCTGCCAGTAATTGTCTTAAGAATGTTTAATAATAATAATAATAATGTTAATGATAATACAGTAATTGTGGCTTGCATTCACAGATTTACATTCTGAAGCATATTGACAAAAATTGACACTTTATAAAATTGCCTGACTTTTAGATAATACATTTGATTACAAATAATCGTGATTTTAATATCTTAAAGGCAGTTGATAAGAATTTTTAATATTCATTTTACCCTTTTCACAGATATTCTGCATACTTACTGAAGTACATTTATTTTGTGGCTACATCACACTTTTTTGCCAAAGTATTCCATTAGAGTATCCATTCCAAGGTTTGTCATGATAATTATTGTGCAATGTTTGCCACTTTCAGGACTGGTGGGAGAATGACACTCACCGGAAAAACTGAAAAAAATATTATAGGGGAATATAGCACAAGTACAGTATATTTGTTCATATACCATACCTGCCCACCTTTCTATTTGTGGGATCCTTCTCTTCATAACCCCATCCCCCTTATTCTTTTTCACTATTCACTCTAAAGCTGTTATGATAACATTTGCATGTACACTTTCTTGAGTCTCACTAGTTGAAGACTGGTTTACCACATCTCATCATTTAATATCCTCCAAACACCACATGTTCCTCAGATTACCTACCATAAGCTACCAAGCATGTACATTTTTCTTGATAATGAAATTTCCTACAATATTTGTCTTTATAGTAGATCCCTATAAATTTGTGGGGTTAAATTCCTAAAACTCCAAGGGGACGTGGAGAAGAATCCTTCGTCCATAAGCCATGTGTGTCGAAATACGTAGGTGACTAAATGCTCTGAGCAAGAAGCTAGTAACCCCTTCTGTATAAATTATTAAATGTAAAAAGAAAACTTTTTTTTTTGGGGTCACCCTACCTCGGTGGGAGGCCAGTGTGTTAAAAAAAAAGTTCCTAGAAGTTACATTGTAACTAAGAACTACAAACAGTATAAAATTATATCTGTGTAACAAATTTTATTTCAGATTTGTGTTAATTTTGTATTTCAGAAAGCATGTCTGTAATTTATCACTCTTACTTTTCTTAATATTGGAATTTAAAAAAAAAAAAGAGTGACCATCATAAAAAGAAATGTAAGATGAGAAAAGCCAGTGAGCAAATTTGGATGAAATTAATGGTTAGTGCCAAGCCTGAAAAAAAAGGATGCTGCTAGAAAAGCTGTGGATAATCGAATTCGTAGGCTTCTATCAGGAAAAACATTGCATAATCAAAATTTACAAATAAGGAAGCCCATGAATTTATAGATACAACTCAAGAGCTAAAGTCATGATTTTTAAAAATTCCAGTGATTATGCAGTTACTTTTATTATTATATTTATTTATTTAGTATTTTAAGAACAGATACAAACAGAGGTACAAAAAAATACAGGTAAGAGAAGCATGCAAAGCCACTTATTTGCCATGCTTTACGGGCTGGCTTAAAATTAACTGTAAGATTTCTAAGCCAATGATGAAATCGTGATAAAAAATTATTGTAAAAAGATAACTATAATGCACAAATGAGTATTACAAAGACAGGTCATATGGTTGCTTGCATTGCTGTTCATTCAGTTGAATGGAGTATTCTGTTAGGTAGTGTATTTAAAAAAAAAATAATAATCGTTAGTATTGGGTCCTAGGTTTAACTTTTTTGTGTGATATAATTGTGAGTAACATATAGGATATACCAATTTATAAGGTTTCAGTTATTCAGTATTTATTTGGTTTTTGGAGAGAGTAAGTGTTCTTTGAGAAGAGACTTGACTTTATAAACAGGTTAGTGTTTCTTTTATATTTACAGGTATGAATTCCAGATTTTAGAGCCTTTTATGTGCATTGAGTTTTTTGCATGCGTGAGCTGAGAGGATGGACACCGTGAGGAACTCAAAGAGTGATCTGTGCCTTGTGTTATGGGTCAAGTGTTCTGTTGAGGTTGGCAAGGAGATGTTTTGAGGGGAGGGTCTAATAAATTCGAGTTAAGTGTTCTTATGTATGTATTAGGTTGGCAATAATATGTATGGATGTTTTGTATGGTGGAGTAGGTGAGTGCTTTGAATATTGGTGGAGGGTGTTTCCTGTAGTGAGAATTTGTTATCATTCTAAACGAGCCTTTTGTTGGGTAATTATGGTCTGAGTTGGTTAATTGTTGTTTGAGCCCCATGCTCAAATTCCATAGGTGAGATGATAGGGGTAAATAAGAGAGTGAATAAAGGGCCAGGCCTGGGCTCTGACTGTGGAGATAGTACCGTATCTTCGAATAGTATGCCTACAGTCTTGGAGAATTTCTTAGGAAATTTGTTGTATATGTTAGAAATTTGAGTCTATTATCGAGGGATTCCTAGGAATTTTCCCTCTGTTAGCTTTGTGATAGGTGATCAGTTTATTGTTTGTTAAAGAGGTTCATCTGTAGCTCTGTTACCAAACTGATTGACAGTAGGTCTTTGTCAATGTTTAGTGGTAGCTTTGTTAGTCTCATCCAGTAGTTATTTTCTGTAATTCGGTGGTTTACAGGTATTGGCTAGAGTGACTGGGCTCGGTGAGAGAAGACGTATGTAGTGTCATCTGCAAAAAGTGTGGGTTTTTGTGTAATTGCGAAGCATTTGGTAGGTCATTTATGTTATATAGGAGAAAGAGAAGAAGGGCAAGGACACTTCCCTGTGGGACACCAAACTGTAATTGGTATGTGCGGAAGGCTTGCCCCATTTGCGTACACATATTGGCTTCTGTTGCTGGGTAAAAAAGACTTGAGGTAGTTATGGGGTGCTCTTAATACCATAGTGTGACAAATTTTACGTTGGAGCATGTCATGGTCAACTGTATCAAAAAGCTTTACTAAGTCAATGAAGATCCCCGTCGGGACTTCTTTTTTGTCTATTAGCAGTTGTACTATATGTTCTAGCATGATGTATAATTGCATCATTAGTATTTTTTTTAGGCCTGAATCCAAATTGGCAGGGGTTGAGAATGTTTTGGAGATGAGGTAGGAGTAGTTTTGTTTATGAAATTAATTTTTCGAAGATTTTTGCGAAGAGAAGGAGAGGGTTATGTAAATTGGATATTGGTCTATAGTAATTCATCTCTGTTTGGTCTCCTCCTTTATGGATCGGGTGACCCTTGTATTTGAGAAACTGTAGGGAAGGTGGAGGATTCATGGATTTGTTGAAGCGTGTTGCAATGATTGGGTTGATAGTACTTTTGACGCTTTTTTGTTATATAAAGGGTTGGTAAGGTATTTAATCTCCTGCCTTGTTTTTCAGTTGCGTTGATAATAAGGGAGACTTCGTATGGGTTAGTTGGAGCTAGAACAGTGTGTGTGGGTAGTCTGCCAGTGAGGTTGTCATTTGGTGGGTTGGATCTTGAGCTTGGGATTTTATTGGGCAGGTTTTTTGACCTATAGTTGGAGAGAAATCATTGTAGTCTGCTTGCTGTTTCTGTTGGTGGGGAGTTGGGAGTTCATCTGATTTTGCTAATTTTATTTTCGCTATGTCGTGATAATCTTTTTTGTTCCCAGAATTTCTGATAGGGTCTTCCAGGTCTTTTTTATATCACCTCGTAAGTTGGATAATCTGTTCTCATAATACACAATTTTTTTGCCCTTCTTATTGGTGGTTAGGATTGACGAGTAGTAACGTTTTTGTTTGGTCTTGGTTATGTGACCCCATTCTGTACTGTTTTTCATATCGGTGTTTTGTATTTATGGATTTGAGAATGCTGGGTGTTAGCCAGGGGCTGTTCAGTCTCTTAGCTGTCATCTGTTTAGTTTTTTTAGGGCAGTGCTTGTTATATTTCTTGCTACCCATTCTGTTTGTCTGTTTGTTAAGAATTTGATGATATTGTTTTGGTACTTCTGTAGCTTTAGTTAATAATTATGGGCTTAAGTTTGTTTTCTCTTGTATAAGCTTATATGTATTTATCGTGTTGCCATTTTTTGGTCAATAAGAAGAAAAAAGGAATGTCTAATGCTTTCAGTCTTTCTTGGTAACATGTAATGTTTAGCTCTGGGATCCATTTTGTTGCATTTTAGACTTCTCTAGTGTGTACATATAATTTTATTTTTAGGTTCCAACACCATATCACTGCAGCATATTCCAATTTCAGTCTAAAGTGTTGTGAACAATTTTTTTCAGTATTTCCTTGTCAATACAGTGGACCCTCGACATTCGATACTAATCCGTTCCTGAGAGCTATCGAATGTCGAAAATATCGAAAGTCGAATTAATTTTCCCCATAAGAAATAATGGAAATCAAATTAATCCGTGCAAGACACCCAAAAGTATGAAAAAAAAAAATTTACCACATGAAATATTAAGTTTAATGCAATAGAATAATTACAGCAACAACAATAACCATAGATTAATAACAATAGAATAATTGTCAGTGGTCAGCAAAAAAATCGTCATGTGGGTCACGAATCTGAGCTGCTTTGGGATTTAGCGTCTTGGACGGTTACAAAGCATGGCTCTTGCTTCTGCATTGTTTTAAAAATTGAGGTTGGAAGCGGGGGGAGAGTTGAAGGAGGAGGGCATGCTTCCTCGGAGGAGGATTAGTGAGGCTGATGGTCCACTCAATGGGTCTGGGGAGAGAGAGTGTGGGTGGCTGGAAGCTGTGGGATGAGGCTTCTGAGTGAGGTGCAGTCTGTCTCTCGCTGT